CAGGTGAGCCCTGTGGCTGTGGTAGAGGTGGAGGGAAAATTGTGCATTTGAATTTAACTTGCCTATTAATCCTGCTGTTTTGGCTTCCTATTGCAGACACCAGATGGAACAGTCAAAAGAATTCACTGGGTATCAGTCTGGAATGAAGAAGAGAAAAAGTTAAATAGGAGTCAGATTAGATATGTACCCAGGCTGAGCAAAGCCGTCATATTCCCAAGTGGCTTTGAAAAGATGAATGTGGGAATGGCATTCACGGTAAGGATACAGTACATTTTCAAACTGACTGAAATTAAGTACTAAAAATACTAACAGACAGAAAATAGTTTTTCAGTAATGATATGGTGACTGGTATGAAGATGTACCATGATTTGGAGATTCCAGAGCTGAGAGATTGTCAGCCAACCGTAAAATTCATGGAAAAGATTAATAAAGTTGCCAAAGCCATGAATTCAGGATCTTCACGTGATGGACTTAGAAAAGGCTCCCAGCATGAAAAGGTGTGAACATTTTACTGGAATAATTAAAAATCAGCAATTCAAGAGAATTATTACCAAAGTATTAATTTGATTACAGGCTATACAAGATTTTCTGGCTTACCATAAACAGTGTAGAGAGCTGACCAAAGCCAGAGGGCAGAAATGGTTCTGGTCAGAATCCACTGATATTGGCTTGGAAGTGTCATTGCAGTCTGCATTGGAACTGTCCCATTACCTGATTGACGAAGTAGGTTTTAGATTTGTTATGACAAAAAGATTCAACCAGGATGCTATTGAGGTAGGTGGTTTAATTAAGCAATTAGTTCTGTTTATCTTACCTCTTTCTGTCCTCCCTGATTATAATCGAGATTCTTGAATGTCTGTGCAGCATTTCTTTGGTAACATTCGCCAAATGGCTGCACCCAACCCACATCCAGATCCGAAGCTTTTTGCACAGCTCCACCGGCTGCTTGCTGTTTACTCTCTAATTTCACCTGCAAAGAAGAGTAACGTCAGTGGGGTGGAGAATGTGAAAGCCCTGATGGATGCCACAGATGATGTGGGAAGGGAACAGCAAGAAAGGCAACAAGAGTTTGACCAGCTCCTTGACGAAATTTTAGAATTTGGTGAGAATTATTTGGAAACTTGAGATAGAAGTTTGCCTGAACTTGCTAAATTCTAGGCTTGACACTTTAATTTACAGGAACGCCATTCGAAGCCCTGCCAGGAGAGGTACAGAAAGAGCACTCATATTTTCTGGATATGAGGGAGAAATATGACGAGCTTTTAATGAGCTTCATGGCAGGCTTCACTGCATTCAGGCGGAAGAAAGTAGTAGAAGACTGTACTGAATGCCTTAACAGTCTAATTAAGCCCAGGAGTGACATTGGACCAAAAGATAAGTTTGCTATCACAAAAGAGTGCTATGGTGGCTACACCTACCCATCTGATGAACTTGTCAAACTGGTGGTGGCTATTGAGAAAGCAGTAGGAGACTGTGTAAACAACCACAAGTTTCACAAAGACATGGTGTTTACCACCTTAAAATATTTGGTGATTGATGCTGGTTGCTTTGTGGGCTGTTTAAGCCACAAAGACCAAGTCACAAAAAATATTTTAAAGTATTACTTGTTTATGAGAATGTTTTTTGCTGCTGATATAAAGAACCAGCAAGAAGAAAGTGATAGGAAGAAAAGGCTAGAACATCGAAAACAGTCAAAGCTGTGAGCGCAAATTTATAATACCTAATTTTCTTCTTGGGTTTCTCTCTATCAGTACTCTAGATAATCAAGCTTATCTTCTGATCCACAGAACTAGGGAAGCAATAATTTGAAATTGTATACAGCC